CAGACGATGTACAGCTCCCACCTCCCGGGCACTCCCCCGCGTTAACGCGACAGCTCCAAAAGGTGCCTCGGTAAAAGTCGAGCATCTTTTAAAAAAAACAAAAACAAAAAACCAAAACAACAAACCCAACGAAACAACAAAACCCCAAAAGAGAATCCCCCAAATCCCAACGGCCGCCACCTCGGACCCGAATCAATGTGATCGAGGCCGTGGAGTGGGGGCGGGAGGGACGAAGCGACCCCTCCCTGCGGCGTTTCCAGCTTCCCTTGAGAGAAGAAACCCCCAAACCTCTTTGCAGATCCGCTCCCCCCTCCCCGAACCCCGAGCCCGTCTCGTCCAGCCGTTTTGTTTGGTTTCTCTTTTCATTTTTCTCACTCTGTGTGTGTGTGTGTGTGTGTGTGTGGTTTTTTTTTTTTGCAAACTTCCCAACCAGTGACTACGCCAGAGAGGGAAAACCCCTCAGAGAGGGAAAACCCACCCACGACCCCCACGGCCGCTCGGTCCCCACTGTGGAACCCCAACGTTGGTGTCAAGCCCTTGAGACCCCCCCTTTCCCCCCTCCCAGACAGCTATACTGGGTCATCCACGTCTTCTTCTGTGGCAACAGTCACGGGGGCCAAGTCCTGCTTGCGGAGGGGGCTCTTGGCGATGCCCAGCAGCTCTTTGCTTTTCTCGCCGTTGCTCCGCTGAGTCTTTAAGTGATCCGGCTTTTTCAGTTCGGGCTCCGGCCGCGAGTCCGGCGTGGACTGCCCGCTGTCCAGGAGATCCGAGAGGCTGCTCAGGGAGCCGCCGTCCAACTGCTCGAAGGAGAAGTTGGGGATGGTGAGGAGCTCCCCCCGGCACTGGGGCTGGGCCCGGCGCTCCGCTTTGGAGCCCGGCTCCCCCGGCTGGCTCTCCGCCAGCTCCAGGGATTCTCTGTAGGCCGGGAACTCGCAGGACGGGGTCCTTCTCCTCAGCATGCTGTTCTCGGAGGGCTTGGTGCGTGGGGCCGCCCCGCCGTCGTCCTCCATGGGAGGATCTATAGAAATGCAGGGTGGGCTCATCTTCTTCTTCCTCCGGGCGCCATGGATGTAGTCGGACTCCGCCGGGACGTGGGGCCGCTGCTTTTCCTCGGCGGGGTCCTGGAAGCCGCAGTGCCGGTCGCCAAGGGAGGGGCAGATCTCGATGGAGTGCCGCCGCTGCTCGTCGGCCCAGCTGGGCTTGCTGAGGAAGCCCTTGGTGTCGGTGCTGTAGAACTTCTTCAAGTCCTTCTCCCTGCGGCCGCCGGACAGGCTGCTCGTGCTGCAGTTCTTGAGGGGCACCGGGGACGGGGCCGGGGAGATGAAGGGCGAGGCGGAGCGGCTCCCGGGCTCCGAGTGCTCCCGCGCCCAGTCTTTGGCCGAGCTGTTGATGTGCCGAACCTCCTCGTCCGCCAGGTCGGAGGGCTCTGCGGGGCAGCCCTCGGGGCCGGCGGGGCTGGGCGGCCGGCTGGGCAGCTTGCGGGGCAGGGGGCTGGGGGGGCGGTGCGGGGAGCACGGAGGGGTGGCCGGCAGGGAGGCGGCTGTGGAGGGCAGGGGGCCGGGGCTGAGGGTGCTCGGGGGCTGCTTTGCTGAGGGCGGTGTCTCTCCGGGCTCTGCTTGCAAGCTGTCCTTGCGTTCTGCGGTCTGTCCGTCCACCGAGTCCGTTCGAAGGGCCTCCTGGAAGGGGAGAGACATGGAATCATGGAATCCCAGGATGGTTTGGGTTGGATGACCTTCAAGATCATCTCGTTCCACCCCCTGCCATGGGCAGAGACACCTCCCGCTAGCCCAGGTTGCTCCAAGACCCGTCCAACCTGGCCTTGGACATTCCCAGGGATGGGAGTCCATGGCACGTGGCAGAACAGTCGGTCTAACACATCCCATACCACCCCACTGTACCCACCCCACCAGACCGTCCTGTACAAGAGGATAAACCTTTCCTGGCATGGGCCTACACGAGCAGGGCTGGGATCTGCTGGGCCTCGGACTTGCTCTAGTCCCAGATCCTGAATTAGCACAACCCAGCACAGTGACCCCGTGTCAGGATGCCTGGAGGCTTCTCACAGCACTGGCAAAAAGGAATGGGGCACCTTCTCCCCATGCTTTAGCCCTTCCTTCCTGGAATAGCACACCCATGGAGATCAAAGTAGGTAAAAGGGGCCTTCCCCTGTGCGACACTTGCCGAGACCGGAGCACATAAAAATTCATGGCACAGAAACCTCCTGCTTTGTTCTAAAACGAGAGTTCTACTCTTAGCTCCAAGAAGAGAAACCAAGATAAGAGAGAAAGGAGACGGGTGACTACAAAGGATTTACCTCTGCGGGCTCTTGGCCTCTCACCTGCCTGCACAGCAGCTTGCTGAGGACAGGAGATCGAGGGGTGACGTTGGGGGGAAGGACCTTCCAGCGGTGCCGGCCCTCGTGGCTGGGGGAGCAGACAGACAGCTGCAGGGACTCTGTTGGCACCCTCAGGGAGGAACACGTGCCCACGGGCTGGGAGCGGATAGAGGTGATGGATCCTGCAACAGAGAGAGAGAGAGAGAGAACGAAAAAGAGAGCAGTCACTGCTTGGGCTGTGGATGGAAAGTTTTGAGGCAGAACCAGGGGCCCACAGGCTCCAGGAGGGAAAAGGAAAAGCCTGCTGGGCCTGGCTGATATCCCAAACCTCAGCATAAGCCTTGGGCAGTGCCAGGATTACAAACCAGGTGTCCCTTGTCCTGCCTGATGCTCTGAACGCTCAGGGATGGCAGGAGGTTGCACGTGGAGTCTGTGCCATCTAGCAGCATCCCATGGGGTTCTGCCTGCTTCTGCCTCCTGTTACAAACTTTACCCTCACGGCCTCTCTTTTCTGTTTCAGGTAGCAGGAATCTCCTCCTGCAGCTGCCACGACACTCAGGGTGTCCACCAGGACCACGTGGCAGCAGAGGAAAGGCAGGAAGTGGGGTTGCATTTGGAACCCTGACACTGCTGCTTTCCTGGTGGCACTGATTGACAGTGATCCATCTGTTTGGAGAACATGGATTTGGGAGGTCTGGTGGCTCTGTTGGATAGTCAGGACACCTGGGTTGTCTCTGCAGTGCTGCCAGGGATGGGCTTCAACCTCACACTGCTCTGCCACGTGGAGACACGAGCAGCACTTCCCACCTACAGCCCTGGAGAGCCACAGCATGAGGGGCAGCACTGACCCTTCCTCTCTGTGACCAGGGACAGGACCTGAGGGAATGGCTGGAGCTGCGTCAGGGCAGGTTTAGGTTGGGTATTAGGGAAAGGTTCCTCCCCCATAGGGTGGTCGGGCACTGAACAGGCTCCCCAGGGCAGTGGGCAGGAGCTGGACTGGGTGATCCTTGTGGATTCCAATCCAGGGTGTTCTAGGATTCTATGACTTCTCTGGGAGCAGACACCCCTGCAGGCACAGGGCAGTGTTCTCATTTACCACAGCCCAACCACCACCAGCCCACGAGGCACAGCCTGGCTCAACACGGGCTGATCAGCAACTTGGAACCTGCTCCAAGTGCTCTGACAATCCCTGAGCTCATGCAGCAGGCTGGGATCACTCTCTTCCTGACGGCTCCCAGTCCCCTGGCTGGGTCTGAAGGCAATCCCTCCTCCCCAGCCCCTCTGTGGTGCTGCTTTACTGCATTTCTGTGCTGTTTGAAAGATCCCCTGCTTTTCTGGCTTTTTGGCTGCAGGATTTATTGTCCTCATTAGCTTGAAACCCGACGTTTGTTCCTCCACTGCTGCTCCATGTTAAAAACACAGTTATCCATCACTTCAAGAGATCTCACCCAGAGGTCGAGAAACTTGAACCTCTGACAGAAAACATCCAGACACATTTCAGTTGCATTTCACAGAGAGATTTGTTGTTGGGGAGAGAGAAAAGTTAGTGTTTCATCATTTTTTCTTTTGGAGCTTTCCTCCAGAACTCCACAGAAGGAGCAGAGCAACGAAATTCCCACCCCACTTCTCCCTCCTTCTTCTTTGGGCTCCCCTAGACCCAGAATTTCAGGCTGAGTCCGTGCTCTTCATCTGCCACTCCAGGCTTTATAGAGTGCTTTTTATGATGCAGAAAAACTATGTCATAAAACCTGTCACAAACACGGCCGTAAAATCCAAACCCTCTGTTCTCCTCCCTGTCCTCAGCTGGAATTTCCTCCTGCTGGAAGCTTTCCATCTGAGCTCTCATACAGGAAACCGAAGACCCCTCTAAACTGCAGGCTCAGGAACACCAAAGATCTCTGGAGATAGATACTTTTTTCTCTTGTGTGTTTTTTTTTTTTTTTTTTTTTTTTTTTTTTTTTTTTTTTTTTTTTTTTCCTTGGAAGCCAGGAAACTGTATCTAAAACCAAAATATCACAAAATCTGGTCATCTCACAGCATGTTCACTGTGTGGTCAGCGGATGAGATCCTGAACTGATCTGGGAAGGCCATGGAAGCACAAATGCTAATGGGAGCAGCACTCCATGGGCTCAGTTTTACTTGCACATAATTTATGGGACTATGACTTGAAGAAGAATTTGGGCAGCTCAGGAGCAGCAAAGCCTGGGGTGATGCTGGTTGGAAGCATCTACCACCAGGTGAGAAGTCATAGCCCTGTCCTATCCCTCGCTCAAGTGCTCTTGGAGAGAAACTGGAGAAACATCAGATTTCTTGGTCACTTCTCTCCACCCCTGCCAACACTGCAGCAGTTTTATATGGGTATAAATCCTGCTTTACACCCACTCCAGAGATGAAAACCAGCCCCAGGAGCCCAGCCATGAAACTCAACCTCTGTTTCCTTTCCTCAGCAAAGAATCTGCAGGTGAAATAATAATAATAAATACCGAGCAGAGAACATGAACCGGTGCCCAGGGAGTTTGAACAAACAGTTATTTCACCCAAGGAAATCAGAGCAGATCAGAGTCTCCAAACCCACCACTCATCCCTCTGAGCAGCTCTTGCATTTCAAACCACGCTGGATCAAAGGAACTGGGGCTGCTCGGAGTTCTCGGGAGCCACTCCAGGAGCTCGTGTGCTTTCAGGGAGGCAGAGATTGTGTTTCGGATCGATTTCCCCTTCAAACCAGCTCCCACAGCAAAGGAGACAGAGGGGCACTTTCAGGGAAATGCACTTGGATGCAGTGTGGGTACAACTCCCTCAAAGGCTCCGGGCAGCTCGTGATTCCTGGCTGGTGGGGGCTCTCCGTGAGATTCATTAGAAGGCCAGGCTTGGGAAGCACTGGAGAGTGGCTTCTAATCCTTATACTAATCCCAAATAAACTCCTGCAGCTCTGAACTTGATGTAGGGTCTTAAAAGACACTGCCCTGAGGCTGCAGAGTGCCTGGAACGATGGATGTGAGGAGCTCTGGCCGGACGCAATTCCGACTCCAGCTTTTATCCGGGTTGATGTTATTGATCCTTGGGATCACTTCAGAAGGAATGTGCAGCTCATTCCCTTTTCCTCAGCTAACAGCCTGTCCTCTGTGCCTCAGGCATTGCTAGGGTGCCCCACTTCTCCCTAAACACCATTCACCCCAGCTTTCTCCTGGGAAAATACAGGGATGTGATGAAAACATGGAATTACTGGAAACCACCGTCATGCTGATGCTCATCAAATCAATCAAGCCCTGCTGAGGCCACCTTCAGCACGGGTTGCTTGCTCCCCACACAACCACCACACGTACCTGCTGCCCCATGGCTGGAATCATGGAATCATTTAGGCTGGGAAACACCACTGAGTCCAACAATTAACCCAGCACTGCCATGTTACCACTAAACCACGTCCCCAGGTGCCACATCCACATGTTTTTTGTACACTCCCAGGGATGGGGACTCCACCACTGCCCTGAGCAGCCTGTTCCAATGCCTGACCATGCTTTTGGTGAAGAAATTTCCCCTAATACCAACCTCAACCTCCCCTGGCACAACCTGAGGTTGTTCCCTCTCCTCCTGTCCCTTGTTCCTTGGGAGCAGAACCCAACCCTCCCTGGCACCCCCCTCCTGTCAGGGGCTGCCCCCTCCTGTCAGCAGTACCTCTTTGGGCTTTGCAGGGATAGGTTTCCATCTCCACCTCGTGAAGGGGGAAGGGAGCTTTCGCTGGCACCACGGGCCGGAACATGTAGCTGTCGTTGGGCAGGGAATGCATCCGGGACACGGAGATCTTGCGGACCGTCAGCAGGTTCTGGGAGTCCTGGGGCCTCAGAGAGGCTGAGCTGCCCTGCAAGGACACAGAGAGACGGGGTCATCTACAGTGAACTCCTTCCCATCTGCTTTGTGGTTCAGAACCTCCTGCAGATGTTCCTCTTGGGGTGTCCACCCACAGTGGGCAGCCCTGGTGACCAGCAGGACACCAAGGGTACACCGTGCTGAGTGAGGCACCAATGACCCTCCACTAACTCTTGGATACCACAGAGAAAAAGCAAAGCCCATCCACTCCACACCTGAGAAAACCAGTGCTTATCACACTGTTCTGCTCTGACATTCCCAGGGATGCCCTTCAGCCCGTCCTGGGGGGTGATGTCCTTCTTCTCCTCAAAGCTCTGGGACAGAGGGGCCAAACCAGTTTCTGGAAATTCATGTGTTATCTCCCCAGACCACACACACACACAGGCAGACATTTAAACACACACATCGACCCCACTGCAAGCCCCGTGGCCTCACTCCTGCGATGTGGAGCGTTCTGGGCACCACTGACCCCCAAAAGGAGGCAGGGGGAAGGAGAGGACATTGTGGCAGTGAGTATTGGGGTGTGGAGCCTGTTTGGGGGTAGAAAAGGGATTTTTTCTTTGCTTGCTGTCGCTGTGAAATGGGTCTGGTCGGCAGTGCCTGGACAAAAGCGCCTCACAAACCTGAAATCTGAGCCCTCACTGCCTCCCTGGGGCACTTGTCACCTCAGGCACTTGACAGCAAACTCATCCCGGGATCTTAGGGAGCTTTAGGGACCCAGAAGATGCCTGTGAGAGGTGATGCCTTGACTTGGCCAAGTGCTGGGGGAGCTGGAGCCCCTGGAGCAGGACCTGCAGCCTGGCTCTCTGCCCCCAGTTTTGGTCCTAGACATACTCCCCTCACAATTTACCACATTATCTAAAATACAACCAATCACTCTGGTTTTCCTTTAACGTCAGCCTCCCAGTGACTGATTGAAAACATTTTCCCAGCTGCATGTCTTAAATTAAACCTATTTTGCTTTGCTCTGCTGGGCTGTTTCCCCTCTCTGCCAGCAAAACCTGGCCCTGAGATCCCTCAGGTTTGGAGGTCACCAAGGATCTGGGTAAATCCATTTTTTTTTTTCCCCTCATATATTTCTGGCTTAAAAATCTCTTTCCTCAGCTCCCTAAAGACACACATCCCAAGATGAATTGCTCAGTGCTTTTACCCTGTTGAGCTCGGCTGGGAAGCGGGAGGGGGGGGGACCAGCAGGAGGGGATTTACAGGTAGTTGTCACCTAGCACTGCCCGTGGCCGTGCCCAGGAGCCCTCAAGGTGCAACCCAGGTCTCTGAGCTGATGAATTAATGCATCAGCAGCGTGGCTGTGCCAGCTGGCCCCTGGCCATCACAGCTAATAAGCTCCATCAGCACAGCAACACTTGAGCTGGAGGCAGGCGGGTGGTTGTTAACACCCCGCAGCCACCCAGAGAACAAAAGGTCTTGCTCCACTTTCTCAGCAGTTGAACAGAAGGATCAGAGGGTTTGGCTATTAAAGCTCAGTTTGTCTTTGCAGGATCTTGTACAGACGGGACAAACGAACAGAAACCTCTTCTTGACACCAACAACCTCAATTTTTAAGGTTTCAGCTACTGAGGCCTGGCTAGGGACGTGGGTGAATTTCAAATGGCTGCAAGGCCACCGAAGCAAGACCTTGGAATATGGAATGTGGAACTGGGGGCTTGCTGGCTCCCAGCTGGTGAATTGCTCTTGACAGGGAGGCTGGTTTGGAGACACAACTGCTGCTCCTGCTCCTCAGGAGGGAAACACCTGATGCACTCCAGATCCCATCCCCTGGAAAATCAGGATGGGACCTGGGCATTGGTTCAAGGGGTAATCAGGAGGGACTGAGCAGAGGGGGCTACAGCCTTTCTGGTCTGCTGGGGGATCTCCCAGAGCATCTCCTGAACCCACAGCTCTGGGGATTGCTGGAAGCCTGACGTGCTAAGCTCCTTCTGCCTCTGTTCCCTCAACACTGTATCATAAACAAGTCCTTACAGGAACAGCAATAAAATCAGATTTGATGCTGTTTCCACCACAGAAAGGCTCTGCCTGCAGCTCTCGGTTCAATGTTTATAGACACACCGCTAACACATCACGCTGCACACCACGTGTGACACCTCTTCTAGGGCTAAAAAAGAGGATTTCATTCCTATCCCACACGTGGCTGCTGGCAGAGTCCTCAGGGATGTGGTGTTTTCCCAGCTCCTGCCCATCCAGCACGAAGGACAGAGGCTGGAAGGGACGGATGTGGCCGTGAGGCGACAGGTTTGGGACAATTCCGACACCAGCAGCAGCTGCACAGCACCAAAGCACCACGTCACAACGCAGAAAGCAACAGTGGGACATCATTCACCTCAGCCTGGTGGCCTGGGCTTTTGTGGGAAGGTGGCAGGACATGGTGGGAAACAGAGCAGGAGGACGGGAATTCCATGCTGGGAGCCTCTGCCCCCTCCAGCGTGTCTGGGATGGCTAAAGACACACTCTCACAGCTCAGCACCTCCTTCAAATTGGGGAGATAAAAAGCATCAGTGGCACAGCAAGGCTGGGTCTAAAACACCCAAAGACGTTTGCCCCGTGGTGGCATTTCCTAATTGTCCCATTCCTCCGGGGCAGGAAGGGAGGGAGAAGCACAGGTGGGCTGCAAAAACTGCTGGAAAACACGGAGCATCTCACAGCACCTTCCAGAGCAGCTCGCAGGGAGCGTGGGAGACACTGCCCAGGACAGCCTGGGTGTCCCAGGTCATGGGATCACAAATCCTGGAATGGTTTGGGACCTTCCAGACCATCTTGTCCCACCCCCTGCCACGGGCAGGGACACCTTCCACTACACCAGGCTGGTCCAAGCCCCATCCAACCTGGCCTCGGCCACTCGCAGGGATGGGGCAGAGATGAGAGGGAGGGAATTCCCACAGCCCCACTGCTGTGCAGGGAAGGGAGCCCTCACTCCCAAATCCTCACCTGGATTCCAGCGATCCCACCTGCAAGGGGAAATGCGTGGCCAGGTCCCTGCTCACGCTGCTCCCCCTCATCACCTCTCCCTACAGAGCTTCTGGGGTTGAAAGGAGGCTCTGCAGGCCTCCTGATGTGCTTGGGAGGGACGGGAAGATGAGGAAAACCCCAAGAGGATGGACTCAATTCGCAGTCCCAGCCTGTGTGAAAGGATGTGCCCTCTCTTTCCCCGGTGAGAAAAGCAACCTGGCTGTTTCTGGTGTGTTTTCCCTGCAGAAATGTTTATCAGGAACAACGGTCAAATAGTGAATTCCCCATTGCTGTGTAACCAAATTTCCACTTCCTTGCCTTAATAGAGTCTGATAGATTTTACAGAAATCTAATTTAACGTAATTTAATCTCAACCTCCCCCCCCCCCCCCCCATTGATTTCACGGTAGATTTATTTGTGATCATGGTGACAAAGCAATTCCATGTTCACTCTTAATCATAATGCTGCTGACATGGGATGAGGCAATTATCTCATGCCTCTCCTTCCTTCCCCTCCTGGACTTCTGATTGCACTGTTTTCCTACAGGACTAATAGGAATTGGAAAGCAGGCAGTGCCTGGGAAATCAACCCAGGAACTTCCAGCTTCTTGCTGAGGGGCTCTGACCATTCCCAGAGTCCAAGTCAGCCGTGCCCCAAGCAGAGCCTGAGGCCAGTGGGAAGCTGCAGTTTTTTTTACCAGTGCCCTCCTGAGCTCCTCTGGAAATCCCAGATTAAAAAGAACCCAAGGAGTGTCCATCTGTGTCCACGTGAAGGGAATTTATCCCATCCCTTGCTGTATTTGTCAGGGCTGACAGTGCCAGCATTCCCAGGGCTTTAGGAGATTCCTGCCTGGTCCTGCTGGCCACGCTAAAGGACAAGGAGTGGCTGGGAGAGCAGGAGAGGGACCTGTGGCTGTTTTTGGTTCTTAACCTAAAATTCCCAACCTTGGAATGAGCTGGAAGTGGCAAGAGATGGACTTTCAACCCTCCCCAGGGACAACGGCCAGGACAGCGTTTCCAGCAGCTTCCCCCCTCAGGGAGCCCTTGGGAGATGACTCAGGATGGTGAGGGTGGTGGTGGTGACACCCCGAGGGACCAGGAGAGCTGCTGTCCTGTCCCTTTGGCTCTGTGTCACCTGGGATCTGACTGTCTGCTGATCCATCCCCTCCCTGCCCCTGCCACGGGAGCTTTCTGGGAGCTCTTACCAGGCCTTGGTGCTTCACCTGCACCGCTGCCTTCAGGCTGTCCTGAGCCCTGCAGGGCGCCCGGCCCTCGGGGGCCACGGCACCTCCCCTGCTCCCGCCCGGGGCCGAGGTGCTCGTCCCTCTGGACATCTCCAGCTCGATCTCAGCGTCCATCTCAGCGTCCTCCTTGGCCTCCTTGTTGCTCTCCTCCAGGTGCTTCATCAGCACGGCCACCACCACGTTGACCAGGACGAACTGGGCGATGAGGACGAAGGTGACGAAGTAGACGGGGGAGATGACGGGCAGGTAGCTGAGGCAGTGCTTGTCCTCCCGAGTGCATTCCCGCAGAGTGTCCTGCAGCAGGAGGGGGGGGAAAGGTGAGGCATTAACAAGGGCTCCTTGGGCTCCCAACGCAGAAACATCAAATTAAAAGGTCCTGGACACAAAAGCTCGTGGGTACAACTGAAATGGATGGAAAACATGAATTACATCATCTGCAAAGAGGGGGATCGTGTTGCCCATTGAGGTTGTAGACCATCCCTTGAGGTGTTCAAGGCCAGGTTAGACAGGGCTTGGAGCAACTTGCTCTAGTGGGAGGTGTCCCTGCCCATGGCAGGGGGTGGAACTGAGTGAGCTTTAAGATCCCTTCCAACCCAAATCATTCTGGGATTCTATGATACATCCCAAAGGCACAGGACACAGAACACATGGTTCCCTCTCTCACTCGCAAGGACTGGCATAATTTTCCTGAAGTATTAGATAAAGGAATGAAGTTTCAGGCTGGGTGAGCCTTAGGAGAAAATCACCGCCCGAAGACACACGTGGCCTTGAAATTAGGAAGCTTAATTTGGATGTTTTAAGAGGAAACCTTTTTGTTTTCACACAAAATCCGTTTGAAATCTTTATGTACCTACAGAGAGAAGAAAGAGCCCAGACCCACCTTCATGATGCCATTCCAGTTGTCCCCCGTGGACACCCTGAAGAGGGTGAGAAAGGCCATGCCGAAGTTGGTGAAGGTGGCGTGGCGACTCAGGCCCTCGCAGGGATTTTCTTCGCTGCAATCTGCGGGACAGAGAGGCAAGAAACGCGCCAGTGAAGCCACATCTGCTCACCCAGAGCAGCCCCCAAGCGTGGTGGTGGGACCCTGGGCTGTGTCACACTGACAGGTGGCATCAGGGAGTGGTGACCTCACGGGGCAGTGAGATGAGCTCTAAGGTCTCCCTTCCAACCCAAACCGTTCCGTGGTCTCTCCGATTCTCTTTAGGGGCAGAGCCAACACCAAGAGATCTAAAAGGAGGTGGAAGAAAGCAGAATTCCTGGGCTGCTTCAGCAAATCCTGCTCCACAGCATCCTTTGTCTGTTTTCCTCTTGATTATGTCCTTGTCTTGATGGTTTTTTACAGGGTACATCTACCATGAGGGATAATTCACTGAGATAAAGTGGAGCAACCTGACATTTCCCCCTTCCCCCCAGAATTAATATCCTAATGAATGCAAATTGAACATAAGAAATATCCCTCTTCCCATAAAACACAGGCTTGTTAAATATTCATCAGGTCAGGCAGCAATGTCTCTTGCCTGGGCATTTCACTCTTAGGTAATTATTTTTAGATAAATTGGAAGGAAAAACAGAAAAGCAAAAAAAAACCACAAACCAACCCACAGATGACCAGCCCTGGGGAAGGGAGTGCTGATGGTTCCTGTGGCTGACATGGACTCGCAGTGAGCAGGAAAAGGGAGTGAACTGTTCCCCAGTTAAATTCCCAGTTTGCTGCCCCAGAGCAGATCCCAGTCTGTGATCCTGGGGCTGGCATTGCCAGTGTATGTGTGGAAAACCAACCAGGATTCAGAGCAGCAGAAGGTGCCTCTGTGAACAAGCCATTTTTCACCTTTGTGACAGAACAAATACATACATATATCTAGACATGTAACATAAACCCACAGTATTTCACTTGGGGGGGATGCAGAATTAATTTCCTTCCCCCCCTCCCCGAATTTGTTGGAGACTGAAAAATAATTTGTTTTTGCTTGAAAGAATTATTCTGCTTTCAGGCACTTGCAATCTGAGCAGAGGGCTGGACTCATAAAGGGGATTAATGACAGCCATAAACCCTCTGTGCAGGAAGGGCCCTTCTGTGCTCCTGAAGCCCTAATTGGGATGGAAATGTTGAGGAGGCAGACACAGCTCCTTCCAACAGCATCTTTAAGGCAGGGATTGCTCTGCCCTGGCTTTGCTGGCTGTGTGTTTGCTCTCTGCCTCCACCTGGTTTTACTGATGGACACATTCCTGACCAGCACCAGCATCCTCAAGCTGGAGGAATAACTGGACAACCAGGAACTTCCTGATTTCTGCAGAAAGGGGGAGATGATGCTGAGAACAATGGACAGGCAAGCCCTGGGCAGCTGGAAGAGCAATGTCAGCCAAGTGCAGGGAGCTCGTGGGGCGTGGGGGAAGCTCCGAGGAGGGACATGTTTATGGTGGCATCTCTCCAGCACCACTCTGACCACCATCCAGCTTTGCAGACTCATGTTCTGACTTCAGTAGCAAACTTCCATCTTTGTGGACATAGCCACGCTGGACAATTATATTTAAACAGTAAACAACAGTTCCTCTCCAGCCAAGGGTGGTGCTGGGCAAGTCCCTAAATGTGTGTTTGTGCACGTTAGGCAGGTTCTGTGTTACATCCTCACGTGTCATCTGCGACCCTGAGATCAAGAGAGAACTTTCATCTTCAGAACATGAGCTGTGAAAGCTGAGGAAGGCCCAGGAACGAGAGAGAGAGAGAGAGAGAGAAGAAAGGAAACGGCGAGATCCCAAATAAACATCAACCGGATGAAACGGAGGGCGTCGGGCTCATTACTCACCGAGCTTGCCAAACAATTCCACTCCCAGGGCAGCATAGATAAAAAACAGGAGCATAAAAAGTAGGCCAAGGTTCCCTACCTACACAAGGAGAAAGCAGAACAAGGGTCAGGCAAGTTGGAGGTCATGAATCAAATCACTCCATCACATTTTAAACACAAGCAAAGGAGGGACGGGCGGCCAGAGGCAAATCCACACCTGCCCTGGCTCCCCAACACCCTGGTCCCCTCTCACAGTTCTGCTTTGAGGGACCCAGAGAGCTCCTCTGTGGGTGGGAATGGGCAGATACTCCACGTGCAAAGCAGCCTCTGGTGCCTCTCCATCACCCTCCACTGGTGTGGAATTTGGCCGCTCTCAGGGGCACTTTCAGGGCAGGGGGAGTTTGTGACCTGGGGCTTTGAATTTCAGGGGCCTTTCCCTTCTGTTTGGGGCCCTGAGCATGAAGACAGTGACAATAACAAGCCACCAGAGGAACTGCCTGGTTTCCAAAGGTTCCAGTGGCCTGGAGGGCTTTCAGCAAAGGAACATGACTCCAGAGAGAGGTGAAGCTCTCCGATGTTTCACCCTTTAAGGACATTCCTCAACAACAACTTCCCGAATTTGAGCTTTCAGTGTCTCCGAGGAAAAGCCTTATTCCATACACCAACACTGAAATGAAGGCACCTGGCAGCTCTAGTTGCTGCTGGAGGTGCTAATGAGCACTGCAAGGTGGCTGAAGGGGGGTGAGAGAAGTGAGATGATGCTAAAAGGTTCTCAGTACCAATGGCACTGCAGTTATCAGCACTGCAGTCCATCACAACACGGGATCCAAGCCCTGAAAACATCTTCAAGAGCAGATATTTTTTTGTGATTCAGGCAGAGAGAACATGAAGGGCAGAGCAACCTGACCTGCCACAACCTGCAAGTAACTCTGCTCCCATTTATCTCTCCTGCCACTTTAATTGCTCGTGTCTATCAGCTCTAGCAGAGATAAAGTGATCGAGTTCTCCAACCACACGTGGCAGCACAAGCATCATTTATCCCTAAATAACAATGAACTAGGTGGTGATCCAGGCAGAGGGAACCCTGATCTCCAGGGTCTCTTCTACTGAACTCTTCCTTCGAGAGTTTTCTTCTCTGAGGTGGCACAGCCACAGTGGTGTTGGGGATTTGCACCATACTCCTTCATTTCATCAGAAAAGTTATCAGTGTGATAATTAAATTAACACAGCTGTCACTCAAAAAAGAGGTTTTTTTTTTGGTTTTTTTTTTTTTTCTTGTGTTAAAGAAATGGGAGTAGTCAAATCACCCAGTGGAGGCTGTAACTGCTGTAAAGCCTAAACTGGCTACTCCACACAGAGCTCTGCAATTCCACAAACATCACTGCCATCCTCCAGGGAACGACAGAGATAGAACAGGGATGGGGATGGCTGGATTATCTCATCTGCCTGTACTGTCTCCTGGAATAATGCTTCCTAACTTGTGTCTGCTGGACCTGATGGTTTGGGAGACATCAGAAGGCAGCCTGCAAAGTGACTGCAAATGAGACAACACAAGAAAACAGGCACATGCACAAATACACACACAAACTGCCAGGGAGGCAAATGAGCAAATAATTACAGGGAAGGGGAATAAAAGTGACAAACAAGCCTTGGAAGTCGAGTGTATATTAAAGCCCTGCAGAAGAGGGTTTTGGATTTTGCTCAAAGCAGCCTGAATATCTTACTGCTATTTTAATGCCTAATAAATCAGCCTGCAAACTTAAGGCACTGATGAAACTCCAAAGAATTTAGACTAACAACAAAGTTCTTACCAGGTTATCAGTCAAAACCATCATCTGGCTTTCAGCTCGCAGAGGATGTTACGAGCTGACATTTGCTCATAAACAATTTGCTGCTTTCTAGTGGGCATTAGCAAAAGATTCTGTATTTATGATGGTGACTAATTGCATCACTGAGCCAACGTGGCTCACAACAAGTCCTTCAAAGGCCACAAAGGCTCACAACAGAGTCCTCCAAGGCATCACAGGCACAGCTTAAAACTGCTGAAAGAGTCCTGCTTGCTGTGCCCCCGAGAGCAGAAATGGGGCAGCTCCAGAGCTCAGCTCGTGCCCAGGATCTCTTGAGAAGTGCCTGAATACCTGGCTCTGATTTGGAAACGTGGCCATGTGAGAGACAGGTGGGACACAGGGACGGGCTGGGATGGAGGCAGCAGGTCAGGCAGTGGCTGTGAGCAGAGGGAAGGCAGACTGAGAGTTGTCTGTGACCTTGGGTGAGTCACTCCTCTCCTGCAACTCCACATCCCCATCTGTAATTCCCTCAGGGACAGGTAATTAATGTCTCCAAAGCACTCTGAGATAGATCTACTGAGACCAGACAAGAAGAAGATGGGGCATGAATCACGTTGCTGAAAGGAATGGGAGGGGGGCAGGAGCACAGCAGCCAAGGGCTGGGATGTCTGGGCTGGACTCTCTATCAGGAACAGAAATCCAGTGTCTACTCAGAAGCCTCAACTCTGGCAGCCAGCGAGCCAGGCAGGCTCTGAGAGGTGGTTCTGCTCCAGCAGCACTGAACAGGGCAGCTCTGGTTATCCATCCAACTCCCCCTGACTTGGGCTGGGCACAGAAAACTCCAGACATTCCCTTTTTCTGGCAGCCAGGGGCTATCAATCATTTCCTGGGGCTCCAGCACCGAGGAAGGCTGTGGACTGCAGGGAGTGAAGCAGAGATGAAGAACACCCTGGAGATGTTCCTGGTGCCCTCAAGTACCTCAGAGAAGCCAGAGGAGCTGGAGATGCTGCTGAGCATCTTGTGATTCCTCCTGGCCCTTCACTTGCTGGAATCTTGGCTGGCAGAGCTGTCTGTGTGCCCGGGACAGAGGGATGCTGTGGGCACAGGCAGAGTCCTCCATCCCACCCAGAGGAGCAGGGAGGGCCTCTATGAGGAACCACCACCCTTCCCCACAGTGCATCCCAGCTGGATCTGTGACCTGCCATTAAAAGCCCTGGAATAGCTTTCCTTTTCCCGAGGAAAGGGACTTTGCACACACCCAGCTGGCCTCTGCTCTCCCTGCTCTGGGAGAGGCACTGATGGAGTAAATGTCTTCTCTGGTCCCAGCCCTGCAGTGCCTGGGTGAAACCAGTTCCTCCTGTGCCTCTTCCAGCTCTGACATCCATTAATCCTCCATCACACCCTGGCATTCCAGTTGTTGCTGCAGGCAGGGCACACAGCTCCCTGGAATGCCTGTCAAGAGCAATTTCTCACAAAACTAAGCCCCTGCCAAACATTTCCAAGGACACGAGTCCCCCTCGTCTTCCCCCCATCGCTCTCCAGCCAAAGCAACAATCCTGGCAGCGGGAAAGCACAGGCTAATTTATGCACTAAACCCCAGAGAAAACGGACACATTTGCTTGGAAAACAGAGGCCATCTGTGAGAATTCCAGGGATTAGTGGGAAGGGCCAGACAGACAACCTTGGAGGCTGAAATCGTGTCGCTGGTGAAACCACAGGCCACCAGCTGACCCGAACGAGCTGTGGGTCCACTCAGACCCACGGTGCCAAGAGCCAGCAGGGTGGTGCTTTCTGTACCTCAGGATTTCTGCTTGGCTGCTCTCGTCCCTCAGGTTTCTCTGCAGCACAGCCCACACACACCTATCTTCCAGAATCCACCTCATCCCCCCTGCTCGCTGCTCAGACATTCCTGGTCTTGCTCTCTGAGTTCACATCACTTTGGGGGGGGGGTGTTGCAGTGTCTGGCAAGAGCAGATCATTCCTTTTTGTCCCCCAACTGCTGCAAGACAATGCCAGGAAACCTTCTCAGGAGCTGACAGTGAGATTAGCACAGGAATTCCAGCACCAAAAGGAGATAAGGTCCAGGACAGGAGCAAACTACAGATCCTGCCCTTCAGGGCACTGATAGAACAAGGAGTTCTTCCCTCTTTCCTTGGCAGAGAGTCCATCCAGGGGGAGATCCAAGCTTTGAAGACAGAGAGGAGGGTGTATTGTACAGCCTGCTCTTAATTAATGTGCCATCAGTGGATCAGGGGAGAAAAGAGAAGGAAAAAGAGCCCAGATCTTTTGATAGGCGAGTTCCACGTCTTGCTGTTGTTGGCCCTGCAGAGGAGAGTGGGAATTGGACTGGATTCCCTCTGTCCTCTCCATCAGGAAGAGCTCTGGCAGCTCCACAGTGACTGCAGGGTTTCTTGGTGGCAGTTGAGGCTGGAAGTGCAGTGTGGGGGATTCACTTGCCCCAGGAGCATTTCAGCCCAGCCAAAGGCCACATTCCAAATCTGACAGCAGGTGCAGGGGAGGGTGAACTGGACTTTGGAAAGCAGGGAATGGGAAAAGGACTAAAGGGCCACCATCAAACAGGAGTCTCACAGAGCAGACTTTGCTTACAAAACCACCAGATGTACAAGCAAGGAAATATTCAGCTGATGGATGAGTGGTGTAATTCATTATTGAGTCTTAATGGGGCCAGAGCTCATAAAGAAGAGGAAAACACTTGAAACAGGTCTTGAAAACCTGCTTCATACTGAGAGATTAAAGGAATTCAGTGCTCTTCTGTTTGCCAGACTGCAAGAGATTATTTTATCTATCCCTGCTCCAAAAAGAAGGGCTAGAAGAAAAGAGCAAAATGACATCCAATGACAAAATAAACTTGGCTAATTCACACTGAAACAACAAGTAATTTTTAGCAGAAAGAGTAAACAAGAATGTATTTCATTAACAGGGGATGGCTGATTCCCTAACACTTTTTATACTTGACACTTTTCAAGGCTTGCTCCGAAGTTCCAGAAGAGACCAAGCCTGTGACAGCCTCAATCTTGGATCAGAAATGCTACTTTCCCCCAAATCTGGGGACAGTTGGTTCTCCAAGTGCTACTCAAACTGTTATCTACTGCGGAATAAAAAACAAAGCTGATGAAAACCACCCAGAAGAAAATAAGAAGTGTTTTGCACTGACAATCCCTTGTCATCGTCAGCCCATAAAGAGACGTTCTACATTCACCACACAAAGAATTTCCCCCCCAAACCTTAATGAATAAACATGAAATCAGCTTTTTTTTTTTGTCACTTAGAAGCCACATTCAATGAGGATTTTCCAGCTGTGGTTTCAGGCTGCTAAATTAATTAGGGTAGGAACTCATCCCCTGCCTTGGAAATGAAAGCTGCAGCTTTGTGAAGAGTGATTGCTGTTGGAGAGGTCACCCCAAGCTCCCCTTCCTATTTTCTCAACTTCAGTGGAGGCCAAACTGGCATTTTTATCTGCATGAGATCTGCTTGGAATAGCCCTGGGGTTTTCCCTTTAATAGAGACCTCGGTTGGAATGTAAACTGCAAGAACACCCCAAAGAAACCAAAAGCCTGGCCTGCAGCCACCCTATTGTTTGGGGGGGCAGAGAAACCAAGGAGGGAGAGAAAATATGATCTGCAACCACAATGCTTTTTGAAAGGAAAAAAAAAAATAAATCAAATAATCTCTTGAAATGCCAAGCCAGGGGCCAGGTTGGTAAATCTCTGCTTTAGTCTCAGCCAAAATCCTTCACTGCAAAGGAAATCTGAATACCAAAGGGCAAATTGTCTCAGATTAGAAACATCTTAATGGCAGTGATGAAAAGTAAGTGCAAATGGGTCTTTTCAAGAAAAAAAGAAATTCCCCTTGTTTTCCAGTTCACTTTGAATAGATCAGGGGCTGCTTTGTATTCAGTAACTAAGTCACAGGGGTTTATTTGGGTGATTCCATGGAGCAGTTGCACCGATTCTCCTGTGGCCACTCATCCTCTGGAGGAGAGGCCAGCGCAGTGTCTGCTCTTGGCCAAGCCACATCCTGCTGTTCCCAGGGAATTCCTGTGCAGGCAGCTCCAGCTGATCCACACGAGGCTGTCCACCACCTCTCCCAGTCCATCCCAGGGCACACAGAATGGATTGGTCCCATTCCTAAAGCCCCTTCCAGCAGCTCAGCTGTGGGATGTTCTGGAAGGGTTGAAAACTAAGGACTTGTCTGACCACATTTGGGCATCCTCAAAGTGCTGCTGCTGAACTGCCGGGTCAGAGGAGAAGGTGACAGGGTTCTGGCACCTCATTTGGGACTCAGTTCTGGCTAAAGCCTGGCAGTGAATGTTTCCAGCGCTGTCTGGTGGGATACAGCAGCCTGGTGATGCAGGAAATTGGGATGTGCAGCTGACTCCAAAGAGCTCAGCCCATCAAACTTGTACACCACCAGAACACAGCCTGAAGAGGACAAGATCTAAAAAAACAAAGGGACCCTAAACTTCTTGGAATTCTTCTGATGGAGGACTGCAAGTCAGCAAAACGTTTCTTTCATTCGTTTCTCAGATAAACAGATCCACTAAAAAGTGCTCTCCAGGAACTGAACTCCTGAGGGATCCTAGCAAATGTTCAGACTGGCAGCATCGTTGTTCCTCCTGCAGTTCAGGAGAATGTGGTGATTTGAGACCCCACTCCAAGCTTTTAACACTCAGAAACATCTCTCAAATTTGCTTTTTGGAGGCTGCAGCTCCTCTGGCAACGGTGTCCATAAACATGGTTGTTCCTGCCTCACAGAACTGCTGAGCTGGGAGCTCCCCCTGCTTTCACCAACACCTTTCTCTGTCTGTCCTTGTGTTTCCTGAACTTGCCAGTGGAATCTGTGGTTTATAAGAGCTTTGACTTTCAAAGAGCTCTGACTTAAGAGCTCTGACTCTGTTAACTCTTTATCCATCACTCTGGTTCTCCCGCCCAACACACCCCACGTGAGCAGGACGTGCCATGAAAAGCTCTGCTACCAAGGCTCAGACAAGGCTGATCATCTCCCCAGGTGCCTTCCAGTGGCCACCAAATGGTGGCACAGAGCTGTCCCCAGGCCCAAAAGGGGAACCCAGTGGGCATGGATGAAGTCTGGGGGCTTACCTGGGGAAGGGCTTGTACCACCGTGTCCAGCAGAGCTCTCATCCCTGTGGCCATTTTCAGCAGCTTCAGCACTGGAATGAAAAGCAAATCCTGGTCAGCAGGGCTGGGAAATCTCACAAGTAAAATCCACCCAGGAAATCCAGGTTCAGATCCTCAGGGAGGGTTTCCATCTCTCTCACAGCTGTTCATCCACGTGGCAAGTTCTCTGCATCCTGGCAGGGCCCACAGAGCAGCTGAACATCCTGAGCTCCAATTAATGGTAATAGCAGCAAAAGTAGAGTTGGGGGTGTTCAACCTGGAGAAGAGAAGGCTCCAGGGAGACCTTAGAGCCCCTTCCAGTGCCTAAAGGAGCTCCAAGAGAGCTGGAGAGGGACTCTGGACAAGGGATGGAGGGACAGGACAAAGGGGAACGGCTTCCCACTGACACAGGGCAGGGTTATTGGGAAGGAATTCTTCCCTGTGAGGGTGGGGAGGCCCTGGCACAGGTTGCCCAGAGAAGCTGTGGCTGCCCCTGGATCCCTGGAAATGTTCCAGGCCAGATTGGATGAGGCTTGGAGCAACCTGGGCTGGTGGAAGGTGTCCCTGCCCACGGCAGGGGGTGGCACTGGATGGGCTTTGAGGTCCCTTCCAACCCAAACCATTCTGAGATTCCATGAAAACAGACCCAAAGCCACAAGAACTCCAGAGTGCCCAGGCAGAAAAACGGGAGAGTGAAGGGGAGAGACTTCACCAGTGCAGGACATCATCTCAAGTTCTAATTGCCATCACGTCCCTCTCTTGTCTGGATCAGTACAAAAGGCCTGTGATCCCAGGTTTCAGAGCCCTATCTAAGATACCACTGGAAAAACAGTTGTCTGGTGGACATGGAACCAGCAGGACTGGAAGAACAAAAGGCCAAACCATTCCCTGAGGTGTCTGGAGGGATGGCTGAGAGCCTGGAGCAGGACACACCTCTGGCTATCCTGAGCACGCGCATGATGCGGATGATGGTGGGGTTGATGGGCAGGGCAGCGTTCATCTCGATCTCCTCCAGGGTGATTCCCACAATGGACAGCAGAACTATGGCCAAATCCAGCTGATTCCACCTGCACAGACAGGAGGGGCAAAAAAAAAAAAAAAAAAAATTAAAATCACACAGTAGGAAATTGTATGTTAAAGACAGGCTCGAGCAGCCCCCAAACGCTCCTTCTCTCTCATATCTGAGCCCAGGGTCCTCTGTGTGGTACAAAAGCAGCTCCCTGCAGCTGGCACAGACACCCTGAGAGCCACAAGCTCTGGGAAGTGATGGAAGCTGGCTGGGAAGTGTCCCTGCCTGCCTCCAGGCTAGAGGGATCCATGATGTGATGCAATACAGCTGCTCCCATGGTGTCACCTGTCCCTTGAATTACTCCACTTGAGTATCTTCCTTGATTTATGGCCTAACACTTGTGAAGGGCCTTTCACACCAGCACCAGAAGGGCAGCAAGAGGCGAAGAAACTGCGTGTCCTGCACACTCTCATCACTAACATTGCTCAGAGCAGCTTCCAGCCACTCGAGTCAGGGTAAATGAAGCAGCCAAGCTGATCTCGTGGACAAGTGTCCAATCTTGCCCTGCTCCCCAGCAGGTCACCAGACCATGACATGCTCTCATACACGTTCCCTTCTGGCTCAGTGGAATGCAGAATGAAATCTGTGGCTCTCTGCAGCTCTGGGGTGTGAGGGCAGAGGGGCTGAACACAAAAGCTTTACAAAGCCAGCAGTCACCAAAGGACTTGTTTCGGGGGACTCTGTGTCCTCAGATTGCCACAACCACTCTTTGGAGGGCTGGATTGATGCCAACAGGTCGTTTCTGAGCTCTGAGCTGCCCTGGTGGAAAGGGAGGCACTGGGGGGGTGAGAATGCATCTAGAACTTTGTGAGGTTTCTGGAATTCCTCCTGCAGTTCTTAAAATTTCTAGTTCCTACACTGGAAAGCACCCACGGCGAGGCAGCCCTTGGCTCTTCCCTGCACTCAGCAGGCACTCAATGCCATCCCAGGGATGGATGCTGCATTTCCCCAGCACCTGGCTCTGCAAGTGGGTCAGTTCAGCTCTGAATCCCAAATGTACAGGAGTTTAAAATAGTCTCACCTGTCCTTAAAGAACCTCCGGAAACCGAACGCCACCAACTTCAGAAGCGCCTCGAACACGAAAACGATGGTGAACACGTAGTTGCAGTACTTCAGGGCTTCATCCAGGGACTGAAAAGAGAGACCCCAGTTAGACCAGCCCAGTTATCCTTCCCTAGAACCCCCCACACCCCAGAAGAATTGGCAGGGACAAGGGTGACACAGGAACAGAGATAAAAGAAATGAAGTCGTAAGAGCTCGCACGCTAAATCACACAGCAAAACTCAAACAAAGGATTAAACACCGATTCAAACAAAAACCTCAAAAGCACTAAGATGAGCTGGCCTAAAACTGTCAAGTTCAACTTCAGTGCACAACTTGTTCGGTCCGGGGCAGACAGAAAAAATTTCACTCCTTCCCCGCCTACTGAAGTTTATTCCTGAACTGCCCAGCCTTGGGCAGAATAAAGGACTTGATGGATCAGCTCTTGATTCCAGCATGGCAACCCCTTGGGACAAAGGCTTTGCTTCAAAAGCTTGGAAAAAAATAAATAACCTTGGAGCTGGCTTAGATCTTGCCTCCTTGAAAAATGGCACATCCCTAGAGCGGGGCAAAGCGTGTCCATATTTGGTGCAACGCTCCCGCTCTCCACAGAGCTGCTTCGGAAGTCAGGAATCCACAGTGTTTATACTCCAGCATGGTGAGTGTTTATAATGGATTTCACTGGAGCTACAGGCCAACAATAGCAAAAGAATCTTGCTGGGACCTTAAAATAGACAGTTGCAGAGTGAAACGGCTCTTTGGATGGGGAGGGACTGGGGGAGAGGAGGGAGGGAGGGAGGGGAATTCAGCTCAATATAACACAGGCCTTTGTAATTTCAATAAGGAAATGATAATTATGAACATCCAAACAGGCAGAATTGGGAATAAATGCAATAGGGGAGTCTGCAAAGCATGTCAGAGGAAGCCCCAGGGCACAGGAAGGTTCTCTGTGTGATGGCTGGGCTTTGCCGACCCCACACATATGACGGGGTCAACACAGCATGACCAAACAGTGATTTTTCTGGAAACAAGAGCTGAAAGTTTTTTAGGTGTTGGCATTCCTCACTGCACTACTCTCCCCCTACTTTTGGTGCAGTGCCTAAATTAAAATGGCAGCTTAAAAGGGGACAATTCCTTGTTCCATCCTGAGCCTGGCTCCTCGCATCGTTTGCGACGGTTTGCATTTGGATTTACAACACTGTATTTGTGAACATAAATCGAGTGTAAACAAGACCTAATCTGGATAAATAACATTTACATGTGAAACAGAGGCTGTTCTGCAAAGGAATCATGGGGCAGAGCAGCACACAGGCAGCTGGGGTAAAATACACACCTTCCCCTCTGGCTCAGCATCCAGGGGGAATCTGCAGGTTAGCTGGCAGACCATGAAATACTGGAAAGGTAAACAGTGAGCTCCAGGAATGATAATATGATGGAAGATTAATATATGGACAGGCTGTATGATCTATGTCAAAGGTCTTCTCGGGAACTGATGCCTTCAGGATGCACAAAGAAGGGTTGCACTTATGAGTTGGTTTATTCTAAATTCATTGAGGGAAAGAAACGTTGCTCTGCACTCAATAACTTCAAGTTTATATTTCTTAGTGGAATACCCTAAAACTTTGGGCTGTTTTACAGCCTGAGGGTCAGTCATGGGGAGGAAATATTTGGATTGGTCTTTTCCTAGTAGAAGTTTAGTTCCCTCTCCACTAGCCTTATCCTCTGTTTGGTTTCTCTTTTTATTTTTAATCAAAAGCAGGGAAACGAAGGTTTTGGCTGAGGTAAGTGACTCCCAAATGGTGGAGCTGGCCCGGAGTGGGATGGATTTAGAGAACAGGGAATGGTCCTAGGGAAGGAGGACCACTGGTCAATGGTATCCCAAGGGAACAGCGTCCTCTGCTCCCCACCCTGCTGGGCATCTCTCACCTTGGGCTGGTTGTAGTGCTCCATGGACATGGTGATGACGTTGACCCCGATGATGAAGGTGATGAACAGGTCGAGGTAGTGGCTGGTGCAGAGGCTGTGGATGTATTTCCGTGCCGGGGAATAGTCGGCGTAGTAAGGTCTGCGCTGAGCCTCTGCAGGGAGAGGGAAAGGCACGCCATGAGCCAAGCCCTGCTGCAGGGCTGCTGCCCGAGGGTCACCTCAGCCATACCTGCATCCAGGGAAGAGCCTGGGGAGAACTGAGTTGGGAAATCCACGTGGGACGGCCCAGCGATTCCACCCCGGTGGGTCACTGGGACAGGCCAAACCTCTCGAGGCACCTTTGCCAACCTTTTCCCTCCCAAGGACGCTCCCTATCCTCGCTGCTCTGCCTCAGGTTGGAGGAAAACCTCCTCAAGGAACAGGGCACGAAGCAGGAAGGGTGAGGAGCAGGGTGGGAGCCAGACCCGAAGCCAAGGGAGGAGCTCCCGAAGCGTCAAACCCAGCTGAGCTTCAGCTCCGGCTTTGAGCGAGGGTTAGGGCAGGTCTTGGCATCGATCCCAATCCCAATCCCAATCCCACTGATGTCAGGCATGTTCCACATGGGAGAAGAACACGAGCTGAGCTCAGCTGCTGGGACAGGAGGATTTTGGGGGGGTTTTGAAGGGCACATGCTGAGGGTTAGGAGCGCACAGCAGACACCAGCAGCCACGCAGAGGGGGCTCAGCACTGGGCTCTGTAAGGACAGTCAGCACAAGCTCCTCTGGAAATATAAATGTCAATTCATATTCATAAAATACATCATGAACCAATATATATATACATAAAACCAGGGCCTGGCTGCATCTAAAAACTCTTTTTAGATTCAGGTTAAATATTCATTCAGGCTACCACCACGTGAATTTTCCATCTCTGCCTCTGGTCATGACTCCTCCATTTTTTTTCCTCTTTGAAACAGAGAAATTTCTGCACGTGGCCAAGTTCCTGGGGCTGTTCCAAGGAGAGTGTCTGGACCCTGGGACTGGGCTTACTTACCCTGGGATTTACTGTGTGTGTCTCTCTCTTAAATGAGACTGTGACCACAGAGATGGCTGTGGGCGCTCAGATGGAGTCAAATTCTTTTCAAACTTAAGAAATGTAAATATTCAGAGTTTACATAAGGCCAGGGCAGCATTACTGCAGATTTTGCAAGTGGAAAAAGACACGTTAGGTCATACCAAGCCAGAGCAGGATTGCTGTTAACAGAGAGGGGGGTTTGCAAATCTGACAGCAAATTAAGCTTTAAATGCACAAGCAGCTCAGAAAAAGGAGTTGCTTTACCTTAAAAATGAGGAGGGAAATGAGTTCAGAAGTACTCAGTACTCCCTAAAATACATCTTCCCCTCCTCTCATCCTGCTAATACCTTTCAGATGACTCTTAAAATGTGTGTGGAGGGGTTTGGTGGTGCAGTTGATGCCAGATTAGAGTCCAAACCCCTAAAATTAATTGGATAAAGGGAACCAGAATCTGTTGCTCTCTTTCAACTACAGCTCCTTTTTTTTTTTTTTTTTTTCCTCCGGTAGTTAAAAGTACAGTGGAGGCATCTGAAAAACATTTCCTTCTGACCAGGGTCACCAAGACTTATTTTTATTTTTTAAGGGGTGTGGAAAAACAAGATGAAAGCAAAGAGAGTTGGTTTTGAATACATTTCTCTGTTGCTTTCATGTGCCTTAATCCTACGAGTCATCTTGGACCGGTAGGGCTGACTTTGCCACTGAGCTCAGCGTGTCTAAAAAATAATAATAAAAACATTGCAGGATGATATTTATTTAAGCCTGTACAATGTGCTTTCATGTGTATTCAGGATTACAACATACTTTTTTCTCTTTTCTTTTTTTTTTTTTAAGGAAATGTCTTCTTGGGAATGCAAATAATCAGCTCATTGGGAGGTCTGAGAATACCCTTAGTAGCTAAATGTAATATTAAGGGACTATTTATTGATGAGTAATGGTTGATTAATGGATCTCAGGAGAACATTAGCAGGGATAGGTTGGCAGCACATAAGGAAAACAGGTTGCAGGTGACTGTAACTCCCTTCTAACCTGCCCAAATGCAGCCATTGCAGCAAAATATCAGGTGTTTATTATATTTTATAAACTACTTACATAGGGATAATCACAAGAAGACATTTTCCACTGTGAAGCTGCTGAACAGAAAAGCTTCTAAGCCGCCTGTCAGCAATACAACTTGTTCTTTAGGTGGGCTGGAGATAAAAAAAAAAAACTAAGGAGAAACCACCCAGCCATAAAGGTGGGTCTGTTTTACAGCCCAGAGGTCTCTCTGTCAGCTCAGGCTATGCCTGGTCAACTCTCTGCTCAGAAAACCTGGGATAGGTTTAACTGGACACGGGATGAGGAGCTCTGGGAAACGCCTTTAGGACACACACACCACCTGAAGCCAAGGTTAACACACGGAAAAGGAACTTCTCCAGGGGACAGACACATACAGGGACAGTGTGGCATCAAGGTGACAATAAAAACACATGCACAGTGCCATGCTCAGGGCAGGAACCCATGCAATGTCCATCAGAGGAGATGCTGCTCATGCCGGGCTGGGGGAAGGGCCGGGATGTGCAGCGGCGGCTCCCGGCAGTGCTGGGGTCGGATCAGCCGATCCCAGGATGGCAGAGGGGGTTGCAGCGGGGTGGAAGCAGGGACAGAGCAGCCACAGTAGCTTCGCTGCAGCTCTGACCCCCTCCAGGCAGGAGGGAGGCTGCATTTCAGAGCTCCCAAGGCCCCAGCTCTGGTCATTCCCAAACCTTTCTGGGAACAGTTTTACCTCAGCCAACAGCAAAGCAAGTGGCTCTGGCCTCCTCTCAGCTCACACACCACACATTTTTAACTCTAAGTGAGAATATATAATCTTAAACTCCCCAGTTTGGGTGCCAAGTGTTCACTGCACACACCTACTGCTCCAACAGCCTGCTCCAAACCCCATCCAACCTGGCCTTGGACGCTTCCAGGGATGGGGCAGCAACAGCTTCTCCAAATAACCTGTGCCAGGGCCTCCCCATCCTCACAGGGAAGGATTTCTTCCCAGTGTCTGACCTGAACCTCTCAGTTTGGAGCCATCACCCCTTCTCCTGTCACCCCATGCTCTGTAAATAGTCTCTCTCCATCAAACACAGACAAGTTTCCCTTCAGCTGACGGCCTGAACTGCTGAAAATGCAGGAGGGAAAGGAGAAACCATTAAACCAATGGAAAAAAAAAAAAAGAAAACCACAGCCCTTTCTCGCCCCCAATTCTAGATGTTGGCTAATGCTTGAATCTCACCTCCCCGCAGAGTATTTAAACTTCTTTGCTTGTGATTGTGCTGACATGAAAATTAATGAAGCACCGTCTCCCGGCTTAAAAGCATTTTGGTTGGCATTCTAATTGCCAGCTACAGCTCCTCCATTACAACCCTCTGCATGAAACATTAGAAAGCCCTAATGGGTTTATCCATGCTTGGCACGGAGCAGCTCCATACCTGCAGCTGCCTGGAAAAATAAAGGAGATGGGCTGATAATTCCCCTGGTTGGAAACACAGAACACTTGGATATACAGCGCCCGAAAATTCAGTTACAGTTTGAATATTTTCCTGCTGGATACACAGAGGGCTGTGGCACTGAGAGGATGCATTAATTTAAATACCTCTGTGTGCTGCCCAAGATTGTTCCCCTCCAGAGAAGGTTTTACAGTCAGTGCTTTGAGAGGCATCTCTGCTGGGTCTTAAAAAACTGGCCTTTCCTTGATTCCCAGACACAGCTCTGCTGGGAAATGCCTCGGAGGAACACGCCTATGGCCACAAGGAATCGGGAAAAAGCTTTCCTTTTTTTCAGAGTTTTCAGGTTTTGGGGTCTCCCCAGGGACCAGTGACACGGTGACACCACTGCAAGGCACTCTCTGGTCCCCAGCCAGAGCCTTCCCTGGGCTGTGATTCCCTGATTTCCAGCTTTTCCAGCACTACCTGCCCTGCTTTCGGCACCCAGTGTCACCCAGACCCCCTTCCAGCCTCTCGAAGCCCAGAGCTGACCTGACACATCTGCTGCCTTCCCAGCAGACACAGGACACTTGGATTTGGCCCCACATCCTGCAGGCAGAGGAGATCAAGCTGATCCACGTGTTTTTTAATCAAAAACTTCAATCTGGGGAGGCTGGTTTGGGTCTGTGTCTTCTGAGAACCTCACTAAAAGGTTGGGAGCAGCAGGATTGTTAAATTCCACTACCCTTATCCACCCATAGACCCAGTGGATGGGAGCAGTGACGGCGGCAGGAAAATATTCTGGTTTATCTCGAATTTTTCTCCTCACATAAAGAAGCTCACTGTGCACTTCTGCCTCCAAAACCACATCAAATGCATTTCTGCATTTGAACTCAACCCCCTGCCCTCTGCTTTCCTGTCAGCAGAGTGAACCTGCTGTCACCCTGTCCCCAAATCCCTCCAAGGAAAATGTGTCCTCCACGGAGCAATCCCTCTGCAGAGCCTGGGATCTGCACCCAGAGCCTGCCCAGGGACCATCCAGATGCTGCTAAGCCGAGGTTTAATCCACTCCCAGGCCTGAGCCCAAGCCTGCCCTGGCTCCGTGGGGCATTTCTGCGTGTGCAGGTTTGGACAGATGCCACAGAAGCACAGGGGACACCACAGACAGGAGACAGGACACAGAGACAGGGTGCCAGGCAGGCAGCGAGCCCAGGTGGACAAGTGGTGCTCAGATTGTTCATCTAGGGGCTATGCTGGGTCTTGCCCCTGTTAACAGCCCTAATTCTCCCTCCTCTTGTGGTCTCTCAGACGCCAGAAATGGTCGCTGAACCAGAAGCAGGGCCCTCTCTCAGGTTTCCCACGTGGGTTCCTGGCTCCTCCACTGCTCTGCTGTGCCCATCCTGCCCCGTGGCCTCACCTGGAAGCAGTGGAAGGTGCCATCCCACCCCTGCAAACACACACACACACATCCCAAAGAGACTCTGCCCCACACGGCACCAAGCACAGCTCACATCTTTCTGAGTCTGCCACAGCTTTCCAGCAAATCCATCATCTTCTGAATTTACCCAGGAGGTGAAAACTCCTCCCACTGAAACGACCAAAAAAAAAAAAAAAACCACACCCAAAAAAACACACCACCAAAAATCCATTAAAATGTCAATAGCAATCTTCCAAAACGCATTATCAGATATTTGATTTCGCCTTGTTAACTGCTCAAATTCGGGTGCCAAGCTGTCCTTGCTGAACAGAGACAGGTAGAGCCAGACAATCTAAGGGAACCTTCTGGAAGCCCAGCACATGGCCAAATGTTTTGCCTCTCAGTTGCTATGTTGCCTTGATCACCTTCCAGAAATCTGTCCTCCTCCCTGCGTGCTCTCAGGGAAATGTTACAGCCCTTCCCTGTGCGGTGCCTGGGTCTGCACTCCAAAATATCTCCTCGAGTCTATCCTGGGAGACAGCTGGATAAAAGAGGAGCAATGTCACAGTGTCCATCACTTTGACAGGGCTCTTTTTGGTGTCTAAACAGCAAGTCACAGTCAGGCTTTTAATAAGATTTACTTCCTAATCAGGAACAGCAACTGGCTGTGGCTTAAGCTGTGTCTCCTTACCTGTGCCACGGTCTGTTTTCTCTAAGGATGCTTAATGTTCTTTGGAAATAGCTTTTTTTCTTTTTTTTTTAATTTCATATAAACTTTGAGTTTATCTGAATGCCTTCTCTCAGCACGTTGGGGCAGAAATTCTGCACGAGCCTAGCAGCCTGAAGCTGATTTCCCTTACTGTGCTGCGAATGCTGCCTTCAGCATTTCCACCCTCCTCCAGCTCAAAAACCAAAAGGGGAGAAATGAAGTTGCATTTGAGCTCTTCTAAATCTCTGCAGAGATTCAGTGTCTGCCTGCAGCTGGCTGGTTTGAGCTAGGCTTTATTTTAACCCAGCTACTTAACTCCCAACTGACTAAACTAGGCTTGGCCTTCACCCTGGTGTCAGGACAGCCTGTGGAGACCACGGGGCAGACATTTGGTCTCCCATGGCTCTGATAAAGAGGACCACAAGAGCAGGAGATAGAGGGATACAGCAGCCTGACTCCAGCCTGGATGGATGGAGGGAATGGGATGGGGTTTCTCCCAGCAAAGCCTGTGCCCACTGTGTCCTCAGAGCTGAGCTAGAGGCTATTTTCCCAGCTGAAAATGGATACCAGTGGCCTGATGTTTGGCCATTTGTCACAATATTAGGTCCTTCCAGGAGATGACACAGGCAGGCAAAGGGACACAGCACTGATGTGGCAAGCAGGGCCTGAAGCACTCCAGCCTTATCCCAGCCTAAAGCTCATCTTGGATCACCGTGGGCATGTTCCATCATTTACTCCCCCAGAACGCTTGCCAGCAACTAATGCAGGTCACCCCTGTTCTCTGAACTTCTGGGAAGCTGGTGTGGCTGTTTTCCCGGCAGTTTTCCTGGAAACACCCACCAGATGCTACAGGCAGCTTGTCCTGGGTGGAAGCTGCCAAGGAGCAGTGGAGGTGAGGATTAATGCAGGTTTGGGTCAGGAAAAGAGCACAACAGGCTCAGGTGTTTTCCTGGTCTGGTTGGATGGTCCCTGCTGGATCCGCTGAGAGGCAGATTTTGGCTCAAGGCCTTTTGTTGCACCCTAATGGCCCCTGCTGGGCAGTGTTTCCATGAAGGGCCACCCCCAGCCTGCGACGGGATGAGCATCTCTTGTAATGGACATTTTCCAAGGGAGAATTCCCCAGCCAGCCCCATCCTGGGGCTCCACTCCTCTCCCCAGATTGTGTCCATGCCCTCATGCAGGTCCGTGGCATGCGGGGCCATGCGCCAGGACTCCAAAAAAAGCATCACAACTATTTTGTCTAAGAAAAGAACTAAGAAATCAAACCACCACCACCACCACCATCCTCGGATGCAAGCGGCACGTTAAGCCACGGGGTGCCCCCGGAGAGGCCTCCAGGCACACAGGGAGCTCACTCCCCACATCCCTTGGACACACCGAGCTGCTTGGGACACTCCAGCAGGACAGAGGACTCTGCTTGCAGGAGGATTTTCCCCCCCAGCCAGGTAAACAGGTAATAATTCCCACCAGGCTTGTCCAGGACAACTCCAGGGCGTCGGCAACCCCGAGGCTTAAGGCGCCGCCGAAAAGAGGCAACGAAGCAAAACAACCTCTCGAATCCCCGTGGGGAAAAAAAAAAAACCAAAAACAAAAACCAAAAGTCTGGCTTTGGGAGCAGGCAGGGCTCAGAAAGATTTTGGTTTGTAAGGCAGTCTACCGACCAGACAGGTACATCTCCTTACTCCTGCGCTTTTTCTCCAGGCGTCGGAGCCGCTTCTCCTCGCGCCGCCGCGCCTCCTCTGCCTCCTGGTGCTGCCGGCACTTGTGGAAGTTCTCCACCACCACCCCCACAAACATGTTGAGCACGAAGAAGCTGACGATGAGCAGGAAGGAGATGAAGTAGAGAAGCATCCAAGGGTTATGGTTCTGGATGGGCTGGTGGGGAGTTAAAGACAAGGGAGAAGTGGCATAGACGAGAGATGTGTTTAAGGCAGGGGTTTCGGGTGCTCTGCAGCAACAAGACAGCACAGCTGTTTGCTGTGGGCTGGGAGGAGATTTTTCCCCCAAAACAGTCGCCTCTCCTTCACCTTCTCCCTGACTAAAATGTCACTTTTGGTGTAAAACCCGCCTTAAGTTGGCACACAGGATTTTAATCATTGTGGCATTTATTTCGCACAGCTAAAAATAAACCTCAGTGGATGTGCATCATCCCACCAGCAGGATCTTTTCAGCTAAAGATAGGCTCCAGATTTCTTTTCTTTTTTGAGATGTGGGCTCATGTTTCTCAGTTGTTCTGAGATCTTCAGAAGCCGGGGAAAATTAAGTACTAAGTGTTACTGTAGCTACTATGGGGTGCTAATGGGAGACTTGTGACTTTCCTCAGAAAATGACACATAACACACCAACTGAATGCCTCTTTCACGACATTCCTGGTTGTTTCACATTCCTGGTTGTTTCCCACCCTCAAGTACCCTCATTCTCATTAAAAGCCCCATCAGTGCTTGTCTGTACTACACAGGGTGCTGTAAAAGCAACTTGGTGGAGAATGGAAAACCTTGCCAACTCAGTGAACAGTCAGGACCTCAGAGGTCCTGTAACTCTGCTCTTTCCTGGGACTTCAAAAACACTGGAGTTCCCCAGGCATGAGACTTGTGAGAGCAACCCCCTGCACCCTGCAGTACCTGTTGGTCAATGCCCACGGCATCCAGCCCGTCGTACATGATGTTCACCCACCCGTCCTTGGAGGAGAGGACAAACAGGGACATGAGGGCCTGCAGGAAGACAGAAGACAGGGGTCTTGCATTTTGGTCCCCAGAAAAGGAACTAGAACCAGGCAATCCTCGCCAAAACCAGCCCACAGCTCATAACACATCGCCTTGGCCTGGAGTTGATGGACAAGCGCAACAGTTTGGGGTTTGCTTTTACCTGTTTCTAAACCTGGTTTAAAAGTGAGCAAACTGGGTTGTTACTGCTCCTTTTCCCTCACATATGGACTGACTTTTGCTTGGACACATCAGGCTTTCTGGTCACCAAAGCATAATTAAAAATCAGTATTTCAGGCTGGCCCAACGTCATCCAGTTTCAAAAAGCAGTGATATATCCCAGCTCCTACTGTGGGCTGACTTGCTTTTCAGCCAGTAGAAAGCACCTTTTTTCTTCATTTGCAAACACAGCAGCCAGAAATCAAGGGACTAAAAGGGACAGTTGAGGTCCATACATGAGAGACCACATTCCCATAAATAAGGAATTGTGTCTCTCTCCAAGAAATCAAGTGGTGACCTGATCCATTTTTACCCACAGAATTATTTACCTAGAGAATACCCACAGAAAATTTTACTCATGGAATCATCTGGGGTGGGAAAGACCTCTTGAGGTCATCGTGTCCACCCATTAACCCAGCACTGAGAAACGAATATTGATGTCATTCTTGGAAACTTCCTGCGATGGAGGTTCCACACCCTCCTCCAGCAGCACATTTCAAGTGTTCACTGATTAAAAGCTGGTGCAGAAATCCCTGCAATGAAGGGTCTTACCTGCCCCAGGTTGTCAAAGTTGTACTTGCGCCGGACCCATTTGTAGCGAGCGTTGGTGCAGTCGGTCTTCGTGGTGATGTTTTTGACATCAGGACCATCACAGTAGTAGAACTTCCCTTTGAAGAGCTGCATTGGAGAAGCACAAACTCAAAGTTTATATGAAACAGCCCTCAGGCAGGCTGAGCTGATGCTGTGCTGTCCCTCAGGGAGGTCTGTCTGCTCTCCTAATCCTGAGAACCCCCCGAGTGAGCAGATGCCAACCCCACCCCAGAGCATTCCTCCCACATCCTGGCTCTTCTTTTCTCACTGAAATCTGGTTTGGAGATATTTAAGCTCTTTACTTCCACCTTAACCCCAGCAGGTGAGAAAAGCAGCTTTCCCTTTTGCAGCAGTCACTTAGAGATGGCCACAGTGAGGGAAATACTCTACCTGGACCCCTAAAATCCCAAAGATAATGAAGAAAGCACAGCAGATGAGAACAATATTCCCGATAGGCCTCAAGGAGGAGATCAAGGTTTCCACCACCAGCTTCAGACCCGGGGCTCTGCTGATGACTCTGGAAAAAAATGACAGGACAACGAAACTTTTAATTTTTCTGCACGACCTGTTATTATTCAGCTGCTTTTCCTCTTGCCTGGGCTGCAGTGAGGCTGACACAACCCTCCTCTACCTGCAGGCAGCGTTCAG